ACAACGAAAGAATAAAAAAAATAATAATATCAGTAACAATACACAATAATCAGAGATAACACATTCATAGCTGTAATAATAAAAAAATAACCCCCTACCCCCCAAAAAAAGAGAGAGAGAAAAAAAAGAACAATGCTAAAAATACCAAACATCAGAAACAAACACCGTCCTTCCCGAGAGGTCACGTGATCAGGAAAGTCGCGCGCATTCGGCCTCCTCTTCCTCCGTCTCCTCCTCCGCCGCCGCCGCCGAACGCACATGCAATTGCTTTCCCCTACGCTGCTTGCGGCCCCTGGCGTCTAATCTCTAATTTCCTCGCGAGACAAATGGCTTCCATTATCGCGTTCTAATTAATGCGACGAGGACAACCAGCAGCTGCTAAAATCAACTCATTAATAAGGTGTTAATGCAGGCGGCACGAAGGAGGAGGGGGGAGGAGGGGGAAGAAGGGAGGGGAAGGTTGGAGGGGGGAGGAGGGAGGAGTAAGGAGGGATGAGGAGGAGGAGGAGGAGAAGTAAGGAGGGAGGGGAAGGAGACGGGTAAGGAGGAGGAGGAGGAGGAGGAGGAGGAGGAGAGGGTTAAAGGGTTAAGTGACAAAAAGTTGAGTTTTAAAGGGGAGGAGACGGGACAAAGAGGTAAATAGGTGGGCGGAGAGCTAAAGGGAAGAGGGTAATAACACACACACACACACACACACACACACACACACACACACACACACACACACACACACACAAGATCGAGGAAGCGAATAACGCGAAGACAAACCATTAGGAAAAAATAAAATCCACATATATACATACGACAAAGCGAAGAGTCTGAATAAGGAGGAAAAGAGCTAGACGGAAAGGAAAATTGGGAGACGTTGAGTATGTGGAGGTTGAATAATAGGATTAAAAACGAACGGTTATTCATGTTTTCAGGATGTGACGTCATCTGGCCCTGGCACTGATCGCCCTCCAAGCTTCCACCTTTGCCCTTATTTTACTTTTGACCAAATCTACCGAATGCGTTTTTTTTTCATTCTCAATATTTCTATTTTTTCTTCTTTTTCCCACCCTCTCTATTTCCCTTACCCCCCCCCCCTCTCCCTCCTTTCCCCCCAAGCTCATTTTCTCCCTTCCTTCTCCCCTCCCCCCTACCTTCACCTCCCCCCCCTCCCCCAGTCTCCTTCCCACCCCGTAAATATCTTTTTCTTTATCTTCTTTTCGCCTTCCTCCATGTCCTATGCATTGCACCGTGAACTAGCAATTGCCTTCGCCTCCATTTTCTTGTCTTCTTCGTGTTCTTTGCCCTCAACCTCAATTTCCTATCTATTAATTATTCCACGCATTCTATCCTCTTGCTTATTTAATCTATATTAGCAAGGTAATATAATGCAGAAAAAAGAAAGGAAAAATGTTTTCGCTTCCTCCTATTTCATGACATTAAAACTAATTACGTCATTTTCATTCTACGTGACCTCCTCCCGCCTCATTTCTTCCATTTCCTCCTCTTCCTTCTTCTTCTCCTACTGCTCCTCCTCCCCCTTCTTCTTCTTCTTCTTCTTCTTTTTTTTCTCTTTCCTTTTCCTTTTTCTTTTTCTTCGTCTTCTTCTTCTTCTTCGTCTTCTCCTACTCTTCCTCCTTCACCTCATCTTCCCTAACCTTCAATAACCTATTCTCTTCCCTACCCCACCCCCCCTCCCTCTCTCATTTATCACGTAAAAGGTCTTTTTGTAAGTGCGTTTTCCCGCCTCTTGAGCATTGTTTACTCTCTCACTTCCTGGCCATAACTGATCTCAGTTTAAATTTTTTTCCCTGTTAGACTCCAAAAGAAAGACACGCTAAACGGAGAGAAAGAGAGAAACAACGAAGACGGCTGTAGGGAGGGAGAGGGGAAGGGGAGGGGGCTGCACGAAGACGGCACGAGAGTTCGTTATTTAACGGTCGCAGCAATGGCGTTTTCGCTTGCTTGCCGTGGCGGTGATGGCAGGCGTGCAACTGCACCGGAGGATGGAGCAGAAGTGGAGGTGTGTGGCGCGGAGGTCGATGTGGAGGCGGGGATCCAGGAGGCGGCGGTGGTATAGCCAGTGGCAGCGTGCGAAGAGGGACGAAAAGTGGCGTCCCAAAATTCAACAAATGAAATAGGGCACAAGGCATCGCGGATTCTGAGAAGGCATGCAGAAAAGGCAATAACCGAAAGAACAGATCCTATATATATATATCCGTTTCCGCTAAAGAATGCCTGCCTGCGATAACCTTTACCTTTGGCCGCTCGAGAGAACATCCTACCCCTGGCAAATCTGAGACAAAATGTTAAAAGAGTCACGAGATGTAGGTCACACCCCCCAAATTTCGGCCTTGAAGGCTGCCAAATACAGAAATAAACCCCATCATCATTTTCAAAAAGCAAAATGCCAATATACCAATCCATCTTCAAAAAAACAACAACTTAACTACAGTAATAACGAAGCGAAAACAAGAGAGAGGAACAGAGAAGCGCAAAGACCCCGTGCATAGCAAAGAAGCACAGAATGCAGCTATGAGAATCTAGGTCAGTCGGGCTGTGTTGAACCTGCAACACGAGGGATGGAAGGGTGAGGGGTGGGGTGGGGGTGGGGGGGGGCGTTCCATAAATTCCGAGTCTGACGATCCTGGAAGCATTTGAAGGATCCTGCGCCCTCCTGATCCCGAGGGGCGAGAGGCCGACGGAGTGTGCCCGTTTCTCTGGCGTTTGAGGAAGCACGGAGAGGGCCGGAGAGGGAGAATTACAGAGAAGGAGGAAAGGAAGGAGTCAGGGAGGGAGAAAGGGAGACAGAGGGAGGGAAGGAGGGAGGGAGGGTGAGGGGGGAGGAGGGAGGAGGGGAGAGAGAAGAGAAGAGAGAGAAGAGAGAGAAGAGAGAGAGAGAGAGAGAGAGAGAGAGAGAGAGAGAGAGAGAGAGAGAGAGAGAGAGAGAGAGAGAAGAGAGAGAGAGAGAGAGAGAGAGAGAGAGAGAGAGAGAGAGAGAGAGAGAGAGAGAGAGAGAGAGAGAGAGAGAGGGGAGAGAGAGAGAGAGAGAGAGAGAGAGAGAGAGAGAGAGAGAGAGAGAGAGAGAGAGAGAGAGAGAGAGAGAGAGAGAGAGAGAGAGATCTAATCGATTTCCTTAATGTTTTGCCCAGTGTCGATGAACTCGAGCATATATATTTTTCTCGAAGAAGCCTTTTTAAATTTTACAGTAGTTTCATGCCAGAACAGAATTTTATATGCTACAGATTTACAAGGCTCTCCTGCTTCTCCAGCACATGACAGGTTTTAATCCATCAGTACGTGACGTGGTTCGTTTTAACACACACAGGAATCCACACATACCCATACATACATTGAGAAATGTGTATATAAAGAATGTAAAAATATCACTGCAATATCACGGATCCATAACAAAGTAACAAAGAAACGAAAACGGAGAACACCCCCCCCCCTCTTGAGGAAAACCAATAATCCCGTATCCATTTAACAAATACAGTCTCCACGGATTCCTAACCCCCTCCCCCCTCCGCCCACCAATCCCCCACTCCTATCCTGACCTCCCGTGCGTCTCCCTCTCCCTTTTTACTCCTGTTTCTCTTAGTCTTCTTCCTTCTCCTCTTTCTTTTTTCTCTTTTTGTTCCTCTTACTCTTCCTCTTCCTCCTCCTTCTCTTTCTCTTTTTGCTCCTCCTCCTCTTTCTCATTTTCTTCTCCCTCCTCATCTTTCTCTTTCTCTTTCTATTCCTCCTCCCCTTTCTTTCTCTTTTTCCTTTTCCTTTTCCTTCTCCTCCTCCTCCTCTTTCTCTATCTTCTTCCTTCTCCTCCTCCTCTTTTTCTTTCTCTACCCCTCTTCCTCTTCCTCCTCCTCTTTCTCTATCTTCTTCCTTCTCCTCCTCCTCTTTTTCTTTCTCTACCCCTCTTCCTCTTCCTCCTCCTCTTTCTCTTTCTTTCCCCACTCCTCCTTCTCTTCCTCCTCTTTATCTTTCTCTCTCCCCTCTTCCTCCTCCTTCTCCTCCTCCCCTACCGAGGCGTTCCCACCCGACTCTGCCAACAAAGACGGCGCCCCCAAACATGAGCCAATCCTGTCACGGCCGCCAAGACTCCCCTTCACCCCCCACCCCACCCCTACCCCCCGCACTCCCTTCAGTCAGTCCGCCCGCCCGCCCGCCCGCGCCGCGACCCACATACGCCCGTGGTCATGCCCGCCCCCGGAGTCACGTCTGGCCAACATCGATCTGTTTCTTTGGGCGTTGCATGCAGAAGGGGCAGAGGGTACCGGGGGGGGGGGGGGGGGGGGCGAAGGGGGAGGGGAGGGGAAGAAGGGGCGAAGGGGGAAGGGGGTTGCATGTTGTCCAGGCAAGGCCAAGGATCGAGGGGCACGGGCGGAGTCGAGGGGGGGAGGAGGAGGACGCGGTGCATGCGAGCGCGCGGGGGGGGGGCAAAGGGGGGGAGAAATCTCGGGAATCCTGTTGCTATTACTATCCGTTTCTTACTCCTCCTGTCTCTTTCGCTCTATGTTTGTCTGTCTGTGTCTGACTGTCTATGTTAGTCTGTCTGTGTCTGACTGTCTATGTTAGTCTGTCTGTGTCTGACTGTCTATGTTAGTCTGTCTGTGTCTGACTGTCTATGTTAGTCTGTCTGTGTCTGACTGTCTATGTTAGTCTGTCTGTGTCTGACTGTCTATGTTAGTCTGTCTGTCGGTCTGTCTGATTGTCTGTGTCTGTCTGGTTGTCTGTGCCTGCCTGCCTGCCTGCCTGCCTGTCTGTCTGCCTGCCTGCCTGTCTGTCAATCTGACTGACCAACTGACTCTCTCCCTTCCCCCCCTGTCTTCTAACCAACACCCATTCCCTCTCCCCTCACTCACAGACACCCACAGCACCAGAAACAGCAATACCCTCGCCTCTTGCACCATCCTCATCCTCATCCGCATTCGCATCCTCACGCCCTCGCCTCTCGCACTATCCGCATCCTCACACACCCGCTCGCTGGCTCCCACCTCATCGCGCTGGGGGTGGGGTGGGGGGGGAGGAGACACGCGATCCATAATGTTGTGCAGAATCAATGGCTAATCTCACGTAGTCAGTCAAAAGCAACGACAAGAGCCAATAAAGCTTTTAAATGCACACTTAACGTGAGAAGCAAGATGGATGTGTTTTTTCTTTTCTTTTCTTTTTTTTACCTTTTTCTTTCTCTCCTTTCCCTCGCTCTTACCTGTCTCCTTCCATGCCAAGCTTAGGAATGCGTACGTGCTTGTGTGCGTGTGAGGAGTCATTTTACATTACCTCGTTTCCGAAAGAGCGAACCCGTTATCTTACCTGGAAATAAAGAAAACATAATTAACGTCATAAAAAAAATCGTTATAATCAAACACAGACAAACGCAGTCACATGCAGATATATTTAGAAGCACACATACAAACTACATCTAACACACACACACACACACACACACACACACACACTATATATATATATATATATATATATATATATATATATATATATATATATGTGTGTGTGTGTGTGTGTGTGTGTGTGTGTGTGTGTGTGTGTGTGTGTGTGTGTGTGTATATTTATATATTCAAATTATATTTCTTATACACACACACACACACACACACACACACACACACACACACACACACACACACACACACACACACACACACACACATATGTATGTATATATATATATATATATATATATATATATATATATATATATATATATATATAACAAATAATAAGAAATACCGACCAACGAAAATTAAAAAACTGAGAAAGATTCTTAACGCGAAGGGGAGGGGGGGAGGGGGCAGCTGGCCAAACACGCGAGCCGAAGTACACTTGTATGGCGGTCACGACGCCCTGTTCCCGCAGCTGATGCCTTGTCAGCTCAAGGCCTACATCGACTACAATCGGGGGTCACGTGTGGCGGAGTTTATGCGTGTCTCTGGGTGGGTGAGTGAGTGAGAGAGAGGGAGGGAGGGAGAGAGAGAGAGAGAGAGAGAGAGAGAGAGAGAGAGAGAGAGTGAGTGAGAGAGAGGGGGGGGGGAGAGAGAGAGAGAGAGAGAGAGAGAGAGAGAGAGAGAGAGAGAGAGAGAGAGAGAGAGAGAGAGAGAGAGAGAGAGAGAGAGAGAGAGAGAGAGAGGGGGGGGGGAAGAAGAGAGAGGAGAGGAGAGGAGAGGAGAGAGGAGAGGAGAAGAGAGGAGAAGAGAAGAGAGAGAGAAAAGGCCAAGGGGCGAAGGGCTGAGGGGGAAGAGGGGGCTCCCGAAAGAACGGAAGTTAAGTTAAAGGTGAAAACACAGCAAGAGATAATCATAAAAGAGCCTAACAGACCATTAAACCCCGATTATAAAATACGATGGCCGACTTGACTAATCTCGCGAGACGTCGTAAATAAGACATTTCCGGGTGTCTACCGCGTCTGCCCCCCTCCCCCCTCCCCCCTGTTCCCCCTTTCCTTCTCCTCTCGCTTCGGCCTCCTTATTTATCACGAGCGCCTCACACGCCGTCTGCTCAAGGGCCAAACCAGCACGCGTTCAAGCCTTCCGAGATGCGCATTCCCTCCTTCTGCCTTCCCGTTCAGCTCGGAGCCGCTCGCCCACCCCAGCTCGCGTCCCGGTATGGAGAGAGAACCGCAAAGATATATCAAAATTCGAACAGCCTTTTTGTCAGCCGAAGGTCGCATTTCTCGGAGACAAAGAGCCTTAACACAATTACCGCGTCGTGCCGCATCCCGCGCCGTCGCGAACAGCTGCCGCAGATCGCGCGTGTCCTGCACACCTGTGGCGCCGCACACTTGCGCCCCTCCGTCCGCCAACCGTCCTCGGGGAGGCTCTTGTCCCTAGGCGCGTTGGAGCTCCTCTCCTCGCGTGGACTCGCCCGGTTACATGCACTATTCTAGGACTATATACGTATAACTGGACATATTGCATAATAATTATGCATAATCACACACACACACCTGTATGTATATGTATATATATATATATATATATATATATATATATATATATATATATATATATATATATATATATATATATATATATATATATATATAAATACTTTCCGCTCTCTCGCTCTCTCGCGGGCGCCAGGTATCCTCAAGTGCCCATATCGCCTTTACTGCCGCCGTGCCATACCCAGAGGAGAAAGAACGGTCGGACTTTTCTTTGTAAATGGGCTATTCATTTTTTCTCCGCGCGGCCCGACTTCCCAGGGCGTGGCGCCGCAGCGTCCGCTATGGTGGCCCATGCCCAGGGTATGTACAGGATGAGCCGTGGGGGAGGGGGGGGGGTACAGGTCGAGGTGAAGGACCTGTCACGACGAGGCCTCCGCGCGGACGCCCCCCCCCCTCCACTGCCTCAACGACACTCACCCAAAATGCGGATGTACGGATCTACGGAATCCGACATGCGTACAGACAAACATAAACGAATTTTCATGTGTGCATATCGGTTCCCTCTTTTTGGTGTATTTCCCCTAACCCTTCTCGCCTTCTATTCTTTCTTTACATACATATATACATACATACATACATATATACATACATACATACATATATACATACATACATATACATACACACACACACACACACACACACACACACACACACATACACACACACACAAAGCGAAGCCGCGCCAGCCAGACACACAGACAGAGGAAGGGCGGGGCTCCCAGCGCCGACAGACTGACAATGGCCTACATCCACATAGCTGAAAACAAGCTTACAATCTGTTATACCTCCACCGACCACCCGCACAAGCCCCCTCCCCCCACGCCCGCCACACCCGCCCACACTCACACCGCCCACGCCCTTCATTAACACCACTCGCCACAAACTCGAGAAAAAAACAAACAGGCTCTCGCGTCTCTAAAGGTAAGCGACTCGGGTAGCATGACGATGTCAGCTGATCAGCGAATTGCAACATTCGATCAAATTGATCCGAAGCGAGACAAGTGGACACGAACAGGCAAGGCGGACTGAACTGGCCGATCCATAAAGAAGGCCTGAGTACGGCGAGCGATCCATAAGCAAGGCGGACGGGACCGGACGACCTAAAAGCAAGACGGGCTTGGGCGAGCGAATCAAAATTGGCCGGATTCTAAGGGACGGAGTTTCAAGGCAGACGGAAACGTACGAGTCAAGCGATCCAATAGCAAAATAGAATATAATAATAAAAACAAAAACAACAACATCAACAACAATAACAATGACAATAATAATAATAATAATAATAATAATAATAGTAACAATAAATAATAATAATAATAGTAATAATAATGATAATAATATTAATACAATACTGAAAGTAATGATAATGATAATGACAACAATAACAATAACAATAACAGTAATAACAATAATAACAATAAAACCAACCCATAGACAAAAAAACATTCCTAAAATCAAACCCAGTACCTTATTTCACAAAATCCCAAAAACAGGCATACAAAAAAAAAAAAAAAAAACGGGTGGATCTTCCCGCCTTGTTAACCTAGCAACGGTCCGTCGTCCTCCGCAGACTGGAAGGCCTTTGTCTCCGCGGAGGACAAGCGAGAGGAAGCCGTCGGGACCTTTGTTTATTTCGCCGAAGTACTGAGTGAATTTTTGCTTTGGTTTAAGGAAATCATACGCCTCGTAAAGGGAACACGCCGAAAGGCAAAGAAGATATGCCTCGTAATGGAGGAATTTTTTTGGGGGGAGAGGAGGAAGAAGAGAGGGGGAAGGAGAGGAAAGAGGACAAAGGGGTGAGGAGGAGGAGTGAAGGGAGATAGGGAGGAATAAAGGAGGAAATAAGGAATACTATTATAGAAAAAGATAAAGAAAGGTGATAAAGGCAAAGTGAAAAGCAAACAGAAGAAAAACATTACAAACAGGTGGGAAAAAAAGATAACAGGCATATGAAAAAAAAAACACAAAATACATACATACATGAATGGCAAAACACTCTTCACACATACATACATGCATACACGAATATAAAATAATAAATGTATAAGAAACATGTACCCAAGGATAATCTTACTCCCACCCAATTTCGGAAGGGGTCGTTACTTTAAAAAGAAGACGAAAATTAATGAGGTGAATATTAATGATCTTACCTATTCTCGGCATTTTTTTCACGGCACTTCCCTGTACCCTACCTTACAGGTTAAATCCCCTTCTTCCCTCTTACCCTTCGCCTCCGACCCCCCATCCTACTCTCCTCTCTTCCCCACTCACTTATCCCTTTTCCCTGTACTCTCTCCTTTCCTCGTCCCTTTCTCTTCTTCTCCCTCCACTTTCTTCCTCCCCCCCCTTCCCCCACACTAATCCCTTTCCTGCATTCTCTCCTTTTCTCCTCCCTCTCTCCCCCTTCCCTCCTTCCTCCCTCCACTCTTTTCCCCTCTCCCCCACCTCACTCTTTCCCACCCCTTCTCTTCTCTTCTTTCCTTTTCTCCTTCCTCCCCTTCCCCTCCCCTCCTCCTCCCTCCACTCTCCCCCCTCACTCTCTCCCTCCCCTCTCCCCCCCTCACTCTCTCCCTCCCCTCCCCTTCTCTTCTTTCCTTTCCTCCTTCCTCCCCTCCCCCTCCCCTTCCCCCTCCCTCCTCTCTCCCCCCCTCACTCTCTCCCTCCCCTCTCCCCCCCTCACTCTCTCCCTCCCCTCCCCTTCTCTTCTCTTCTTTCCTTTCCTCCTTCCTCTACTGCCCCTTCCCTCCTCCTCCCTCCACTCTCCCCCCCCTCACTCTTTCTCTCCCCTTATCTTACCTTCCCTTCTCTTCTTTCCTTTTCTCCTTCCTCTCCTCCCCTCCCCCTCCCCTTCCCCCTCCCTCCACTCTTCCCCCCCTCACTCTCTCCCTCCCCTCCCCTTCTCTTCTCTTCTTTCCTTCCCTCCTTCCTCCCCTCCCCCTTCCCCCTCCCTCCACTCTCCCCCCTCACTCTCTCCCTCCCCTCCCCTTCCCTTCTCTTCTTTCCTTTTCTCCTTCCTCCCCTCCCCCTTCCCTCCCCTTCTCCTCCCTCCTCTCTCCCCCCCTCACTCTCTCCCTCCCCTCCCCTTCCCTTCTCTTCTTTCCTTTTCTCCTTCCTCCCCTCCCCCTTCCCTCCCCTTCCCCCTCTCTTCCCCCTCCCTCCACTCTCCCCCCCTCACTCTCTCCCTCCCCTCCCCTTCCCTTCTCTTCTTTCCTTTTCTCCTTCCTACCCCCCCCCCTTCCCTCCCCTCCTTCCTCCCTCCTCTCTCTTTCCACACTCCCCATGACACCTCGTTGGGTGAGATGCTCAGTTTGCACATTACACCTTGCAATTTGCCCCGAACTTGATGTTA